AACACACATTTTTCGCCAATTATGGTTTCGTCTCATTGTAATCAAAGTGAGCCTTTTGCCAAAATACCAAGTTTATTATGTTTTCTTTAATTATAGTTCAATCAAACCCAACACTGGACAAATCTAAAACATTGGTATACTTATAGATAGAACCTCCTTGGTAATCGTAAGTTACGGCCTTTACAGCCATTGGACTAAGTATCTAATGCGGATTCAAAAGATGAACTTTGTTTAACAATACATTTCTGAGTAATTTCGACGAAACACATTACGCCTTTGTCTCATTCACCTTGATCATGATAACATCAGCCATGTTTTTGTATTTATTTTTAATGACGTTATCTATCCGTGGAACAAACCGCATCACCGTAAGAATATATTCATAGTATACACGCATAATGAAACAAGTGAATTTATTTCTGCAAATATTGTTTGATTACACATGACGTTGAGTTTATGAATGAAAATTCGTGTTCTTACATTATTTAACAAAGTGATTTTATTGCAACTAACTATCCACCTATCTATTGGTCGTAAAATTTTGCGGTTACGATGCTAATTCTTTAAAATTAAGCATTGTATTCAGGAGCATGTTGCAACGTAAAATAAAAATCTAAATACAATGAGACGTTATACGATTTTGTCAAAAAAACATCTTCAGTTTTATAATATGACCTAGTGTGAATTCCACATAACTTAGATATAGTTATTGCTTTACCCAGCTGATTGTACGCGTAATAGTGTATTGTTCTTATGAATCTCGTGTCCGCGGAAGGACATATTCGTCATAGTTAATATCGAAAGACAGTTAAGTTTTCTGTATTCTTTCAAATGGTACTTTAGTTCCTTTGAAAAACCGCTAAACTGCTGGACTATGTACCTATGTCCTCTACATAAGAGGGTTTGCAATAACCTCCACGTTTGGGACCTCCTATCTTTGGGATCTCTGTTTGAGAGTTTTAAAGAATCAGGTTTCTCAGAGACACCAGATAGTGCTGTTGCCCGGGCTCTCAAAATGTGGAGTTCCTTAGTTGGCTCTTCAGAGTTCCGACACAAGTTTGAAGAGAAGGGGGGAATAACTGCGGATAGACTTAAAATTCGCCACTGCTAGTAATTAATTCAATAATTTTATATGCCATTGTATCATAAAAGGATATCCGTCGGGGAATAACTGTAGTCAAGTTTTGTTAAAAAAATTACTCGTGCTTCACGATTAGACCACTCAAATAAAAATGACCAGTTAAATAAAATAATGAACGAATAATTTTATCAAATTTGTCGATATACCATAAAATATGTTTAAATTAAATTGCCAATAAAACGGGTGTTTCCTTAGGGCTGATAACATGAGTCATGGTGACTCCCGGGCACGAAATTATTTGTTAAAAATTGTATTTTACAAGCCTTGAATCATTGCAAAATCCAAAAGAATTTCAAGTACTCTGATTAACTAGCTAAATACTATTCTGTATGTCTGCCATCGGTAAAAAAACGTAATCTATAGCCATAATATTAGGTTATTCTATAACAATCACACAAGCTTTTAAATAGACCTTATTACTATAAGGAAAACTCGGTTGAGCGGTTGAGTGATTTTTAACAACAAATAGTCATAAAAATTTAGACTTTTGCCAACAATTTTAATGATTGTTTGCAAAAGTCAATGCACACAATAAATATTTCACATTAGTCACAAACCAGATTTGTACAGACTATGAATATTGGCGGGGATTTCCACAGAGACAACAAAGTTCAAAAGTTTGTGAACCCTAAATGTATCTGTAGTTGTCGACACACAGAACTTGGCCTGAACAAACTGAAGATACCTTGTTCCGTCAGGTGCAGCTTATTATACGGACCTTGTGGAATCTAGAACAAATTTCCGTGCGTTTAGGCGCTTTTGCCATACCTATTACTGGAAGCAAGTATAACAGCTCACACATAGAACGCACTTAGATTTTAGTCAAATTTCCGTAGTGCTTGGCGACTGGGCTTCATTGTGCCTTTAGGCTTAATTCACTCTGTCTCCTGCAGTAATTCACCGAGGGAAGTGGAAACTATCGTTTTTGTTCGTCTCCTCTTATAATATCTTCTGATTCACTTCGTTGTGGGAATCAAGAAGTTATTCATGTCCCTGGGACGCGCCGGACTTCAGTGTTCCGGTAGTTTCATGGTTGTATCTACTGTAGATCCTGGCTTACAGGAGGTGCAGCGGTTTTGGGAGGTAGTGGCGGGCTTGTCACAAAAAAAACTGAAGAGAATGTTTTATCTGTTTTCACGCATAAATCTCTGAATATAACTAATGACAAATCTAGGTATAATTTGTTAAATTACTTGGTTAAAAGACTAATAACCTACAGGACTTAAGTACTTTTTTAGTTTAAGTAGGTTTAGGTGTTTAAAATCATGCTAGTAATGATACTGAGCAATAGAACATTCTGATGTATTCTAAGTTGAATTGAATGGCTTGTTTAGATTCAAAGGACAGTGCGGATAGCGATAGACAAAAATATCGGGTAAAGAAACTCATTTACAACATACTTACATAACACCTGCATAAAATTCGAGTGGGAATCCTATTCGTTGTTACTCTAATAAAATCGAAATTGAATAAAAATACATAGGTATTACATCGATTTTTGCAGCGAGAATATTAATGATAGTTGCTAGCAAAATTCTGTTTCCAAGTTGTGTGGCATTTTACTATAGAGTTGTTGTTTCTTTGGAATAATTTTATTGCTTTTTTTTAGAATAAATAAAATTATTGCACTGATAGTTAATATTTTTCCGCTATGGGAAAGCTTACTTTTCGGGGAGTAAAAGAGGATTTTAACTATCATGATATTATAACTAACTACCTAGGTAGGATCGGGTTAATACCTGATCTCGAGAGAAACTTTTCACACAGAAGCTGTTTAAGTTGCAGGTGCAGGCAAATGGCTGTGTTTTTGGTAACTTTTGAAGGAAGAAATAGCGAGTCTGCTAAACAATGTCGTAGGAAATTATGTCATGTAACGTCTACGGTCTATGCTAGTAAAATCCAGTCGTAATTTTTACGGAACATTGCGTTCAAGGCTAATGATCTCGATTGGATCACCACAGACGTAACAAGGGTGAGTGCTCCCATCATTCCACTATCATAAAACATATGTCAAGAAGATGGTCCAATAAATACTTCATGGCTTGAAACTCTGCCAATAGATAGTGTTGCTAGTACATAACAAAAATAGAATAAGGAAGTGTTTAAAAAAATTGCAACTGTTTTTTGTGGTAATTTCAATTTGAGAATCGTACTTTAGATCGGTGATGAAACCAATGACGTAGACGTTGATCTTTGTGAGGGATGTGGTTACCGATATAGTGAGGAGAATTACTCTAGGAAATGAAAGGTTTAATCTGTGATGAGAACAAAACCATCGGGCACTTCAAGTGACTGCGCAGCAGCGCTCTTTATTTACCTAACCTAGACCCGGATTTAACCCGGTTTTAGCAAACCTCTTTTATGTAGTAGACAGTGGCGTAACTACAGTGTGGCAAGTCGGCAAATTGCATGGGCCCCCATCCAAAAGGGGTGAACCTGAACTTCTCAGTTTTATTAGGTAAAAGAGGTCCATTTGATTAATTTGCCAAGAGTCTCGAATGGTATAGTTACGCCACTGGTAGTAAGGCTTATAAACAAGCTTGTAAATCAAACCATCGGAACCCGGGCCGATGTCACTTGGGACCCAGTCCGATCTTGTGGAACAGCCCTTTCTTTGGAGTTGCATATTTCGTTAAACAATTTGTCTCATCGATCGACGATCGAACTAGTCTTGAATATTTTATCATTACCTACTTTCGGATTTCAAATGGCTCCATGTGATGACGGCAGAATAAAATACCAACATTTGTTCATTAATTCTACTTTTCTTACAGTTGTGGTAAGAACCAATGGACCAACTACACATTCTACAGAGAACAGGCACCAATGCTCTCTTGTAGATGTGAGATCTAAATCTTTTAGACTAATCTCCAACCCACCTGCGCAGTTTGGAGTTTATAATAAATCCATTCATTATATTTGGAAGAGTGTAATGGAATAATCCAGTGATCAGGGGCTGTTGATGCTGATGACAGTCTCCAAATGGTGCAATCACTTCATAAGACTGTGATTCTAGCCTTCTAGGACCAAGGTTTGCAAAAAGATGAGATTTGACTGTGATATATTTTATAGTTAAAGAAAATTCAGGAAATGAATGTAGCTGTTGCAAGAAAACAAAAAAAGTAGGCTAGTTATTTTCAGAATAATGTCAAATAATGTTTATTTGGCATAATGCCGAAGGTCAAACTGTTTTTAATTTTAGTTTAACTAGTTAATATTCAACTAGTAAATATATGCATTGATGCATTAGCAAAAAGTAACTACTTAAAAGTATGTGCTAGAAAAACAGTTATTTTCCTTGCAGTCTAATTAGTTACTGGTGAAATGCCACAATCAGGAGCTAATAAACACTAATTCTCTTACATCAGCTCCTGTGTGAAGCTGAGTACATGACAAAAGAGGCTAAATATCATCTGACCTCTGCAGAGGTACAACACAGTAATCACCAGTGTCATAGACAAATATTATGCTAATGTTGTTTTTATAGCAAACAACAAAAATAAACAGGCACTGATATTACTCATCAGCCTCTTCAAACAATTATTTTAAATTGTCTACAAATCAGTTTTTCTATGAGGCAAGTAATTTTATTATGCAATAGCAAAGGATAAACACTTAAAATTAATAAGAACCGGCATAACAACATGTTGCGTAAGTCTGCATCATGTTAATCATGAAATAAATGTCTTAAGCTGCTCTTAGTTTTTATGATAATTTAAAGCTATATATTATTATAGTCACTAACAAAAATTTGCTAACGATAACATATAAATGTAAATAGTCAATACAACAGTAACTGGTTTTGCACCTGTTTGCATTAGTTGCTATTGTGTATGATATTATGATGAAGGTACTTTACCTTTTCAAAAATTCTGCGCCAATACAAATCGGACCGCGATGGTGTCAGCGGCATGGAAACCGTAGTTTCTCTCTGTCCGGAAGGCATTTTCACTCAAAAAATCAACAGTAAATAACGATAAATGTAAAATATTTAAGCTAAGTAGCACATCATAACACAGACATAAATAAGGCACACTGGAGATTGAGCATGATCGATTTATCCTTTACAATGCCTGATAAGATAGCGATTGTACGAAAAGATAGATATTTCGCGATAATCTTTATTGTATTCGTGTTTATTTAATGCAAATAAAGACGACAACCAGCACAAGGATACCGTTAGCGACTGACTGAAACTAGAGAACGCAAACAATGAATGAACGACCCACACGCTGACAGCTTTGACATTGACATTGATTGAATGAGTGGATAAATTATTTATTGTGCGATGGCAACACTACACTATCAATAAACCATTTTAAATAATTAATAATTAAATAATAATTTCTTATTTAAAATGAAATTATCGACAAAAAGTTTATAACATCTAAATAAAAATTAATTAGATGAAACACACAAGTGTTTCTATAGTATTTTCAATGTTTATGAACGGAGGCTTGAAAACGCCGACGTTGACTTGACATATGTCACCGGTTGCCATGGCAATGATTTTATTGGTTAGAAAAATAATAGTAAACAAAGAAACCGATTACAAAAAAGTAACTTGATAAATGCAGGATTTTAATCGTTGTAACAAAGTTGCAGGCGTTTACTGGTTAAAGAAAGATGTGAGAGATTTACAAATAAAGTAAATATTAACAAATATTGCAGAATATTAATTTAAAAACCGACTTTTGCGACCCAAATTAGACTTTCAATAACAAATATTTTTATAATGATATTGTAATATTTTTCAGAATAAAACTAAAACCTCAAGATGGTGTTTTAACTTTACCAAAGTTCGAAGACTGCACGAAAGGAAGTAACATTTTAAAACTAGAGAACACTGCAGAAGAACATTCATTCAAATGGCAAGAAAAAGTATTCAGTTTGTGGGAAATCCAACGTTACACAGACGTGCACAACTGTATCACAGAAACAGAATTAAATTACCATGAAGTTTTGGAAAGCGTACAGTATAAACCTGCAAAGATATTCAGTTACATCCATGATGATTCTTACCTACCTTTGCCTGTTGATTTAAAAAAAAGAAACAATGGTCTGCTCAATTTAGAGCAGTGTATGGAGAAGTTGAATTTAAATGATGGTTTAGATAAAGTATTTGGATGTGACACAATTTCTGCCACTGGCCTGTTTAGGAGTGAAGAAAATATTGCTTTAGAAGAGCAGGAATGGACGGCTATGCATATTATGTTTGATAATTCTGATTATAATGAGTAAGTAGTGTGAAGCTATTGTTCTTAGCTATTGGGAATCAAATAGAATAATAAATATTTTGCTTCACAAAAATAATTTATTTTATGTTTTAATTTGATACTTTTGTATTGGTTCGTATTAATGAAATAGCATATTATTTTCAAATAGGTATTTATTTTTTAAGGTATAATTATTTTAGTGTATAGTTATTTGTCGCGGAGAACGTAATGGGTAACCGGGGCTCCGGCTCGACGTGCAGGAGAAGGAACGGGGTGGTTTTTCAAATTCCAAAATATTCTGTAACTCACTAATGCATAGCTTAAACCTATAATTCAAACTCAAAATGGTATCAGAGCAAACACCTTAACAATAATAGTCTTTCATATTAATTTTATTTTGTTTTTATTTGTTCAACTTTCAGAGATTCCCAATTGATATTCAAGCAAGAAGTATCTCTCATTTCTATCTATCACAACAATGTACACAACTACCTGGTGATGATGCCAGACGTGAACAACCTCGACTTGAACCCGTACATAGTGGAGACGTCAGCAGGCGTGCCATGGGGATATCAGTACAGCATTGAAATAGAATTTGAAGATGATGATGCTGAGGAGTTAGTGACATTGGTATGGCAATTAATATTTATTAATAATAATTTAATAATAATAATCTTTATTTCAGGTACAATAACATTAACCCATATAAATTTTACACTTGAAATAGGCACATAATAATAAATAGAAACAATTTAATAAACAGCAGTATGTAGACTCATCCAATGCTGAGTTAATTTGGAGTCCCATCTGTCTGTGAGTACGTTCAGGATACTGTTGGGACTGGAACGTACACGCCCCCATAGCGAGGCGGATCTTTTTCTTAAAACAGCGAAAAAGCCGTCTGTATGCGCTTCCGTAAACATTCCTGAGGCACTACAAAAACGCGGCAGACCCAGCAATACCCTGAACGCATTATTGTATTGGTTTATTAAGGATAGCTTAATTTTCTAATAATAGGTACATATATTATATTTAGTTGAACTTGAAATTGTAGAATGAGTACGATTTATGATCCACCATGGCTTTGGCTTCACAAATGATTCACGTTTTTTCACTATTTATCTGAAAATGTCTTTCATGCTTAGCTTGTTTTTAAAATATCTATGACGTTATATTGTTTATATAACGATGTCGTGGTGGCCCGGAGGTTTAAGACACCCGCTTCTCATGAATGAGGATGTACCAAAGTGACTTTTTTCGAGTTACATGCACTTTCTAAGATTATCTAGACACCACAGACAAACGGAAGGAAAACATCGTGAAGAAACCTGGGCTTATAATTTCTAATTATAAGTGTGAAATCGCCAACCCGCATTGAGCAAGTGTGGTGATTAATGCTCAAACCTTCTCCGTGCAAGAACAGGATTTGCTGTATAGGCTGTTGATGATGATGATGATGATGATGATATTGTTTATATGTAGAACAATTTATGAATACTTCATTTTGCATATTTATTTCAGCTAACAAAACTCTACAAAAAATGGGAGCGGAAACAAAAGCATTTGTTAAACTTTGTAATGCCACCTCCCGGCAAGAAGCAGTTCTTTGTAACACTAGAGATTTTAACTGCTGCACATTTTGATATGGACAACCTGTATATTGAGTTTGATATCAAGGTAATTTTATATTATCTTACTTAAAAATCAGATGAAAAATTAAAGCAGAAACCATTTCTGTCAGAAATTTGAAAATCATTAAATTGTAAATAAATAACATAATAACATAACATAACATCACGCCTTTTATCCCCGAAGGGGTAGGCAGAGGTGCACATTATGCCACTGTACAATGTAACACCCACTTTTCACTATTTATGTTATGAGTCCCATGTAATAGTCCCATGTAAATAAATAAATAATAAATATACATTTATTAAAAAATATGACTTACATTACTCATAATTTGATATCTTTGATCAAATTTCAGTTACCTGAAGATATACAGTGCCCTGACTCTCTTCATGGAAAGACTCATACAAGTGAGGGAGTTGTAGTGGAAGGAGATAGAGAGTGGAGCTACGGGCATATCATCGAGTTTTGTTTAGAAATGAACACTGGCACAGGTGAGCTCTTGATTAAGAAATTTGACTAGAAAAATAGACTATTTTTTATTAAATAGGCACAAATTAAAATTATTTTATTAATTTTCTAATAGGTGATTTGAACTGGGGCTGAGACTGGGGTTTTGAGGCCGTTCTCCTCACCATTCTTCTTTTCTTACAATTTCACGTCTTTTTATTTGTATAAAGTGCCCGCCACAATGCTGTAATATATTCGTTAAATAAGTTTGCTTCTCTTACAAACTTCGATTGAGACTTCAGACAAACGAACTAACCAAAAATCAAACTTACCAACAAAAACAAACTTACCATCAAACAAACAAACTAACAAACAAACTAATAACAAACTAGCAAACTAACAAACAAACAAACCCACCAACAAACAAACTAACCTACAAACAAACAAACAAACTAACAACAAACTAGCAAACTAATAACATACAAACTAACAACAAACAAACAAACTATAGAACCAACAAACAACCTAACAACAAACACACAAACAAACTAACCAACAAACAAACAGACTAACCAACAAACAAACAAACTAACAACAAACAAACAAACTATAGAACCAACAAACAAACAAACTAACCAACAAACAAACAAACAAACTAACCAACACACAAACAAACTAACCAATAAACAAACAAACAAACTAACCAACAAACAAACAAACAAACAAACAAACTAACAACAAACAAACAAACTAACAAACTAACAACAAACAAACAAACAACAACCTAACAACAAACAAACAAACTAACCAACAAACAAACAAACAAACTAACCAACAAACAAACAAACAAACTAACCAACACACAACCAAACTAACCAACCAACAAACAAACAAACAAACTAACCAACAAAAACACAAACTAACCAACAAACTAACAAACAAACTAACCAACAAACAAACTAACCAACAAACAAACAAGCAAACTTACCAACAAGCAAACAAACAAACAAACTATCTAGTTAATAACTAACTAAGTTACTAAATCTTCAGCTTTAATAATATGCAATTTTAACATGTGTTAAACCTAAGACTATTCCTTTCTCTTTCACATCATTCTTCTCACAATTCGTTTATATTCACTTTGGCCGTCTACATAAGAATATCATTTACAGAATCAGCACCTATCAAGGTATTCCTAGAAGCCATTTCATCAGATTGGTGGGGTCGTCACCGCACTGAAGGTTACTGCTACCTGCCGCTCACACTGGATCCTGGGAGCTACTCCAAAGATCTCGCCTGCATCAGGCCTGAGGAGTTGGATGCAGTTGAAGCTGAGAGCAGGCGTTTCTTTTTAGGAGGTTGCCACTTGATCAAGGATTTGAATGTCCTGGCTGAACCGCAGTTAAAGGTGAGTCATTTGTCGTATCATATTTGTTTTTTTTTTTTGGTTTGTCCGTTAATATCTGACTTATGTGACTTTGTAGCTATACCTACTAGTGAATTTTACGGTAGGTAATAATAATTTTTGCATGTCGAGAATCTCGTCAGAGCTGAAAAAGATTAAGCAAGGCCCAAATCCCCCCCCCCCATTTCCGCAATCCCAAACAATTCTCAAACTCCTAATCCCCAAAAGGCCGGTAACACTCGTAACGCCTCTAGTGTTCCGGGGCGACGCCGATTGCTTACCATCAGGTGATACGTCAGCTTGTTTAACCAGATTATCACATAAAAAAGCAAGTAAATCCTTGATTTAGCTCATGAGATTGTCGTGTCGACATGTGGCATGTAGAATCAGCGATCATTGTGCCGAAAGTCGTATCTGCCAATGGCCTCATTGCTAAAAGCGTCGACCAACACCTGAGTAGACTAGCGTTAGATGGTTGGATCAAGGGCCTGATGCAGAAAGCAGTACTTTTAGATACGGCGCGTATTGTCCGGAAATTCCACTCTCTGTAGCCCTGACCACTGGTAGCGTGGATTTCTCCATTTAGTGATGGGCTATTGCTTTTTATATTTTTAATGTCTTTTTTATAATCACATATTTAAAAATATGTATATAATAATAATAAATATAACCGCTTATCTATCGGCATATGAGACACAATAGAAAACACACTGTGTCTCGCGTATATCTACGCTCCGGCATACCATGGGTTAATGAAGTATGAAAATAAATAAAGAATAATTCTGACAGTATACCTACCTACCTATGTCTTAAAAGATAGAGGTATTATATATTAGATTACGTTGTCCTACCATTGCCCTGCTACATTTTTTTCTTATTTACCTTAGGCCCATGACATAGCTACTGTTAAATCTACGTTTTCCTTGGCCTCAACGGGGCTCACCAGATGGTGCTAGTGGGAACCTCTCGTTATTCGTCCAATAGGGAATTACCCAGTGTCACACCATTGGACGTTCAATATTTGACAGCTGCTGTGATTAGACAAATAAGTCTCTCCTACATTTGCGCCCTTATTGAGCAAAAGACGGTAGCCCCTGTACCCATACTTTGCACTCATTACCGAGGTTAATATCAGACTCCTATCTCCTAGGACTAATCTTCTTAAATATGCTCCTATTTCGTGTGCTGTTCGGATTATAAATAGTGTACCGGAGTATGATTTGTTCCACAACCTGCCAAGGTTTATTAAAGCAGTACAAAGGCATATTGAATATCACCGTATTGAGTAATTGCGTCTATATTGTCATAATATGTATGTCATACTGAGAGTATGTAACTCTTATTAAGTCTATTAATTAAGGTTAAAGTTTTATTAATTAAGTTACATGTTGGACTTAAATATGTCAGGAAATTGAGATGTGTCGAGGTGGCCCGGAGGTTTAAGACGCCCACTTCTCATGCATGAGGGTGCGGGTTCGAAACCGACCAACGGCAAGTACCAATGTGACTTTTTCCGAGTTATATGTACTTTCTAAGATTATTTAGACACCACTGACAAACGGTGAAGGAAAAACATCGTGAGGAAACCTGGACTTATAATTTCTAATTATAAGTTTGAAATCGCCAACCCGCATTGAGCAAGCGTGGTGATCAATGCTCTAACCTTCTCCGTGTGAGAAGAGGCTTTGCTCAGCAGTGGGCATTTATAGGCTGTTGATGATGATGATGATGATGTCAGGAAATATGATGTTGCATTGGAATAAACTGTAAGATGTCAAATTGTAAGGTGTTAAAATAAATAAATAAAATATCTTCTCTATCATTCCAGGATGCAAACTATAAATACACCACAACAGGAACTATTAGTGTCCGATGGAACATCGTCTCTCAAGCTCAGGTCGGTGGTCTAGTTGCTCCACCTCCTCAACCGGGTACCAGTTCAGCATCAGCGTTACTCTTGGGAGCTGAAGCTGCTCTAAAGAAGTATAAGAAAGCCAGAGCGAGACTCGCAGAAGCTACAAAAGACCTTAGTGATGTGAAGTATGCTGCAGGCGATGGATAGAAGATTCAGAAGATCATTGTTAGAAATCTTCTGCTAAGAAATCGTTAGCTTGAAGCTATCCCTCTGCTCAGAAAAGTTCTCTTCTCGTAGGGATTGGCTTTAGTTAGACCATTATTGAAGCTTCAAGGAATGTTCCCTTTCCTCTGGCTTCAAGAATGATGCATAACATAACATCACTCCTTTTATCCCCGAAGGCACTGTACAATGTAACACTCACTTTTCACTATTTATGTTATGAGTCCTATGTAACAGGGGGTGAGTCTATTGCCATATACCGGGCACAATTCCAGACTCCGTGCTACTTCTGAGATTTTTTTAAAAACCCAGTAATACTTTGCCCGACCCGGGAATCGAACCCGAAACTTCTTGCCCGGCAGTTGCACTTGCGACCAGTCGGCCAACGAGGCAGTCTCAAGCCAAGAATGATGCATAGAAAACTTAGTTAAGAAATGATATTTATAGGTTAAAAAGTGTACACAATCTAAGTCTGCATACCCATCTTTATATCTTAAGGTTCAAAATGCAATAATCAAACAACTGTTCTTGACATAAAATGTAATTTATTTGTGATTTACTTTTAAATAAATGAATAAATTAGTTACACACGACATTTAGTTTGGTTTAATACTACGTACATAAAGAGGTAGATTATAATTATTACAATTAAATTTTTTTACACTAAAAGGTTTATGCTCGAATACTGAAAGGCTACTCAGTTTTAAATTGTACTTAAATATCGTGCCATCTCTGTCATTTTACAAAGAATTTGTAGAGACAGAACTACCTATACTTAAGCGCGATGAGTGGCGTTTGAGTATTTCAGCGTCAGAATACATATTTATAAAAGGTTTAAGATACGAAACACGAACCTAAGATCTCGTATAGTACTTTTATTTTAGCGAGGAAGTATTTAGCGAAATATAATATAATGTGGTAAAATAATATAATAATATAATACCTACATATTTTATGTTATAACTATCTTGAGATATAATTACATTAACTTTATTAAATTACTTATGAAAGCGACGTGGCTTGTGTCGCGTACGCTTCAAATTATGGACCCTGGTTTAATTTGAAACTAATCGGGCAATCTCGTCAAAAACTAGCGTGTGTATGCAGTTTGTTTAACCTAGTTTAATTTAATATTAGTATTACGGTATTCTACATTACGCTGGTACATTTTGGACCCCTTAAAATATTTAATCTGGTGTCTTTAACATACCGGTGGCGAAAGAACGCTTCTTTTAAAAACTGAAGCATTTCTTAATTCGTTCCTCACTTACCTTTAGTGACTGAATAATACGCTTAACGGTATACAATGAAATACATAATTAAATCTTAACTTCTTAATCAACTATTATGAAAAATCTACAACATTTGTTCATATAAAAGTAGTCTCTCAACATCGGATTTAAGGTTTATAAATAATGTAGCAAGTAGAGAGCAGTCGGACAAGTAAAAAAATAAATAGTGTGTTCGATTTTACGTTGACGAGATGGCGCTAGTAAGCCGTAAAGTTGAAATGAGTGACTTAATTGTTGGTGTACTAATCGAATCCTAGAATAAGTTTAGTGAAACTGAATGGTATATTCTTTATGACCTTTTTTGCCTAACCTTCGCGCGAAAATATACAGTACGGTATGATCTATTTTAGGACTGATTCCCTTTCAGACGAGTTCTTAGAAAATATCAACATTTATGAATTTTTAGTTTTTACCATATCGAATAGCATCCCTAAGTTGTTGAGTAACTACGGCTAGGCGTCTTGCTTGACGTCTGCGAGCGTCACGCATGCGCATTAGACGCACACTCCGCGCGTCTGTCAATGCCGCGTGCGCAGCGTGGTTTGCCCGACGCGCGGCATCCATGGCTGTTAACTCTTGCCGAAGAACCGCACTCTCCCACGAACTCAGAGCGTTTTGTATTGCTACTTTCTGGAAATTCAATGATTGTGATCAGTAACACAGACATTAGATTATTAATCAGTCGAGGCCCCGTGCGTATATGTCCAATCATTGACCATTCCAGGGGAACATAGTCCGAGAACAGGGTGTTCTGTCACAAAAAAAGTATTTTCTGCACCCATTGAAGTGTACCGGAGGCAGGGGCGTAGCTAGCGCTGTATCTGCCGTATCAATTATATGGGGCCCCCAGACTACAGGGCCCCCCAACGTACCTAACAAAAATTAATAAAAACTTCCCAATTTTTATTCTATTTCAGTAATCGCAAAAGTCAAAATAAACGATTTTTTCCCGCGTAAAGCATAGGTTTAAAGGTTTGCAGGAACATAAGAAAAATAAAAGTAATTAAGGTCCGCTAATTAGGGCAGAGGGAGTGAGCCTGAAAAGATTTTCGGTTTACCGGACCGGAGGCTTAATCCACCCAACCAAAAGGCCGTCAGCGCACTTGTAACTTCTCTGGTCTTGTGGTTCCATGGGCGGCGCCGATTGCTTATCACCAGGTGATTCATCAGCATCAGCCCTTGTCCTACTACAAAAACCTGGTTGGTTTCTAACCTGAGAAGCATCCTTCAACATAGCAGTCCGTCGTTTACGAGCATCGTCAGCTCTCTTCTGCGTGTCCATGTACTCCACGTGTTTCCTGAACTGGTCCGTTTCGCTGATGAGGGAGCGTCTGTCAGCGGCCAGCTGTGCTCTAGCTTCTTCTTCTAGAGCCTTGTCCACGAGTAGACTTGTCTATGGAAATAAAATAATGGAATTAAAATTACTTTAGGTACCAGTACCACGGCTAGGTACCTGATGTATTTTTTTTTTAATTTTTTGCCATTACATAAGCAATTAAATAACACTTTTATATCTAACGTGACTTCACGCCTTTTTATCTCCGAAGTGGTAGGCAGAGGTGCACATTAGGGCACTCAATGCCACTGTACCTCTACAATGTAACACCCACTAACTACTATTTATGTTATGAGTCCCATGTAACAGGGGGTGAGTGTATTGCCATATACCGGACACAATTCCAGACTTAGTGGTACTAGATACTGAGATTTTTTTTTAAATCCCATTAATACTTTGCCCGACCCGGGAATCGAACCCGAGTCATATTTTACTACCTTATCATTTTGAGAATTGGTCATTTTACGACAACCTAGTTTACGAGTATAGGTAGTAAAAACTACCTACTCTGAGGAGAAACGTTGACACGTTGACACAAACTCATAGGCCTGTTTTAACGTTCAAACATCATTAAAAAATTGGGAGCGCCTTACAAGTTTATTCTGGTATCTGAATCTCATTTACCTTTTTGTCATCAAGATAAGCTCGCAGAACAGCACTGCGATGTTCCTTGCACTTGATGCTGTCCATCAGCTCCCGCTGCCTCAGAAGAGCCTCCATGAACTTCTGGTGTCGCATGAACTCCTGTCGAGCCTTTTCCTCGCGTCGCTTCATGATTATATAGCGTTTGTACTCGTGCATAGTTTCGGCTTCCACCTGTTATTAAGTATTGTTAAATTATTAAGGTCATTACTCATTAGGTACCTACAATATATTTTTCTGCAACTAGATGTTCGATTTTTTATACTTTAGGTAATAAAAACCAAAAGAAAAAACTAGACAACAGCGATCTATGGGTAACCCTATAAATATTACTTAACGTATTTTAATAATTTAATCTATTAAATGTCATAAAAAAACTGGATAGTTCATTAAACGCCTGCTTATTAATAGAAATTGACTCAAATCCTAGTATTAACTATTATAAAATCTGCAGGCGCTATCCTTTTATTTCTTTAACACAAAAATAAAGTAAAATATCTTAGACAGACAAAACTCATACAATGTCTCTTTCTTCTTTCTCCTTCTGCCATAGTTTGTGGAACTCGTCGGCCAGCTTCTCCTGCTCATCATCTTCAGCTCGCTTCCTTGCAAGAGCGGCCAACAGTCGCCACTCTCTATCAGGTATGGCGTCTAGGAGGCTCGTCTCAGTTTCATAGTCGTATGATCGAACAAATTGTGAGATAGAACTGGGTACTAGAATAAAAAATATTGATTTGGATAGTCTTTTTCAACGTCCTTGATCAAACCATTGATAGGTTTTGTATAAAACCTCGAGAAACAACTGGTTGTTTGTAACCTCTAGATAGTAATTGCATTGGTTCTCATAACAAGTAATATCTAACCCAGTTATCTTGTACTAGCTACTTCCGCGCGGTTTCACACGCTCTGCTCAGTTCCTATTGGTCGTAGCGTGATGTTTTATAGTCTATAGCCATCCTCGACAAGTGCACTATCCAACACAAGAAGAATTATTCAAATCAGACTTGTAGTTCCGGAGATTAGCGCGTTCAAACAAACAAACAAACAAAAAAACAAACTCTTCCGCTTTATATAATAGTATAAGGTATCAGATAAGATTTGACCAAGGCCATGTCGTTTCTCAGAGTATCTGTTTTGTTTGTAGGTACAGCGCCTGCTTCATGTTGTGGGTACCATTAAAGTTAGCGCATTGTTATTATTATTTTAGAAGGCGCTCAGTCATATTACACTTACACTTGTGTTTGCGCTTGTGTCATTTGCGCTTGTGTCGTGGTGGCCCAGAGGTTAAGACGCCCGCTTCTCATGCATGAGGGTGTGGGTTCGAAACCTACCAAAGGCTAGTACCGATGTTACTTTTTTCGAGTTATATGTACTTTCTAAGATTATTTAGACACCACTGGCAACAGTGAAGGAAAACACGTGGGGAAACCTCGACTTTTTTAAATTATAAGTTTGAAATCGCCAACCCACAATGAGCAAGCGTGGTGACTAATAAAACTTCACCGCGTAAGAAGAGGCTTTGCTTAGTAGTGGGCACTTATAGGTCGTTGTTGATAATAATGATTTGCGCTTTTAGAACCCATAAATCAAACAAAAATAAAATCTAGTACGCTCAAAACCTTGTCAGGATCTAATTCGATAGTGGCGCCAAATGGCGGTTGGAAAGAAATAATATTTATCTTACCATTTATGCCGCGAGGTGATCTCTTCCGCGGAGACAGGCTGCACCGTC